CTTGGTGACTAGATAAAAGCAAAGCTTAGTCTTCATGTTGTTGACATGCCTGTCCTTGGATTGTGCTTCTTAGAAGGGTATGTTAAACTCCAAGCACCATTATAGGTTCCAGAATACTCCACCTCAAGGCCTTCCACACACACAAACACACAATTCTTGGTGTAAATTTTAGTTTAAAAAAAGCCCCAGAAATAGCTCATAATTTTTTCTTGTTTTCTTTTAGGGAAAGAATAAAGTATCTGATGATTTGAACTATTTTTACCACACAGAATAGGTAACAAGCCTGAATCACACAATGTGCCTTGTCTCTCCCTCCCCACCTTGCTTTCAATAAGTGAATTGCCAACTCATATTAAAACATAACAAAATCTACAACATTGGCCCACATTATCCATGTTCATTCAAAGCAAAGAGTAGGGTATAATATGATGCCATGCTAATTGTTGAAGATCTGGACAGTGGAATAGAGCTAGATTGTGGTGTAAATAGAGTCTTTGTCTAAAAGTCAGTAATTGCAGCAGGCATTGATTTCTTAGAGTGTGGGCTCAACTTCCTATGCAGCTGCACACAGAAGAAAGCAGCATTGGCTGGGGCAGGATTAACCAGCTTCTCACCTGTGGATGGAACTTGTCTGTGGCTGTTTGCAAGGACCAAATAACCTAATTTCTTGTCCAATTTGTTTTGAGGAATTGAAACTTGTGTTGGATGTTCTTGACTGCAAATTGGTCTACAGTTGAGTCTTTGAATAAACATGTAAACATGTTAAATTTTCCATCATTAGTTGTGACCTTTAGAAACATTAAACTAATGACATTTTGTACTTGGGTTGTGTGTAGAGATATTGCAGCTTTGTTTCCTATGCAGAAAAGTTTCAATTGCACATAGATGTTCCTTGTTTTTTCTATATATATACACACACACATGCACATAGTTTCTATATATATTTCTCTATATGTATAAAGGAATATATATAGAAACATAGAAAAGTTTCAATTGCACATAGATGTTCCTTGTTTTTTGTTTCACTTTTGTTTCAGACCACATTTGATTTTATACTTGGAAACAATTTCACTTACAACAATCACTTGGGGTTAAATTGGTTACATTAAATTAAATTTAAAAATAAAAAGAACAGAAAAAACAACAACAACAACAACCCTCTATCTATCTATCTATATAAAAGTTGGAATCTTTTGTATGTTTGGTGCTGATGTTATGCATACACATATGCAACACATGGAATTGAATATTTTTAGAGTTTATATGTCCCATGTAGGAAGACAATTTTATTTGTAGCATTCAAACAAAGTGTAGGTGGGAGGGTGTGTGCATGTGTGTGTGTATATATATAGAGAAATATGTATAGAAACTCATAATTTATGTATAACAGAAGTCTTTAATTTGGATTATATCCATTGGTCATATATTCATATCATCATACATTCAATAAATACTTCAACAACAGCAATTATTTTGTTATGATTCTTAGTGTGCACTTACTTCCCACTGAACAACAGTTGAAAATGAGTAACCAACACCAAGAGTTATGCATGGAATTGCACCTACCTTCAATTTTGACCAAAATCCTAATGGACCTCACATGTTATTGAAAATTCACCTAAATTATCAATGGTGTCTTTGTACAAAACATATTTCTATGCTCAAGAAAATTATTAATTAGTGTTGAAATGGCAAAAAAGGGCTAACCAATCAACAAAAATTGATGAAGATTACCTTCACCTTCAAAACCATCCAATGAAATCATACTCATTTGTCCAATAACCCTAAATCCATGGGTCCTAAACCTCTAAACCCTAAGTTTAAACTGTTTAACCTTTAACAAAAACCCTCCATAAAGTACCTATTGCTTTTAATCAAACTTTATAATGTTTGTACAGGTGGATAAACCATAAAAAAACATGGTAGATGAGTGCGAGTGATTATTAAATAATTGTTAGGGCTTCTGTACAGTGGAATCTATGGCTTCAAAATTTGAGGAAGCTGTCAGTGGGGAGCAGTAGCAACAACATCAAAATTAATTTATTAGAGAGGAAATAGATTTGTCAAGAATCATGTCCGAGACATGACAGAAGAGTGCAGTCCAAAGCACCCTTGCTCAAGGACATCTATCAAAAACAATAATAATAATAATAATAATATATATGGGTTTGTTTGTAAATGTATATATTTGACACGCTATCCAAACTGTTTATGTGGGGGCCACCAAGAATTAGTCCTGGTTCATGGCAACAATTCCTGGAGGTCGCCGATCCAGCCAGAACTGTCAAGTTTAACACGTGTCACAACGCTGTTGGTGTATCTAGATCCCTGAGTGGATGAGGGTGACCGGGTCTTCCAGTGGCTCCTCACCGCAGGCGAGGCAGGACAGTTTGTCATCATTCACTTAGCCCTGTGGTCTGATCACTATACCCATCCTAGCTGTTGGGGATCTTGGAGTGCACTAGACGGGTATCAACTTCGTGCTAGCAGTTCATGGTATTAACCTCGTTTTGGGAGCAACGGGTATTACAACTAATGGTCGAAAGCACTTCCTGGATTGCGGGTTATGTATTTGGGGACTTTGTATAACAAGATCTGTCTCTCAATGCAGAATGAAGTTAAAAGTTGGCCCATGTTTGATGTTGTTTCATGAGAAATAACCACCATTGTGAATAAAAACATCAACTGTGTAGCCAAAAAGGAAACAGTGCAGCATATATATGTGTAGTGGGAAATAAATTAGCAACTTCTGGGAGGTGGTCTAACATTTTTTAAAATTCAAATTCAAATTTATTTATTTTAAACTTTTTTTATTACACTTTATTTTATGTTTTCCATTATTAATTTAATCCAACTCAAATAAAAACCACCATGTAGCAATGTTTTTTGATCTTGAATATCATGCTGCAAATATTTATACATCTAATTATTCTGAAAAAAACAGAATATTTGATAAGTAAATGATAAATCTAGTGTTAGAATAGCCACTAAAAAAAACATCAGAGCATAACAGAACATCCAATTTTCCCCTCACATGCAAACTTTCTCCAATTTTCCTTTCAATTTGTTTGTCGAGAAGAAGGTTTGCCAAACTTTACAGATCACATCATTTTGAATCCCATGGAATTAAGATAAATTAAGTAAAATCCAAGAATACTGTGCCAGGGTCAATTTTCTCATACAGAAGGTTCATTCATTCACGTTCACTCATGACCACAAAGGGAGAGAAGGAAGGAAGGAAGGAAGGAAGGAAGGAGATAAGTTGGAGAGTAGAGAGGGAAAAAACGATTATTATACTTCGGTAGTGATCAGTGAGGCTGGCGATGGAGCATGCAAGGACAGTCGGACCACAAAGATTTGGCTGCCTTTTGCAGATCCCAAGCTGAAACAACTCCTCCTCTACCGTTGAAATCAAAAGTATGACTTCCGTAGGGCCAGGTTTTGCCTCAATTGTTTCAATCCATACTTTCATCAACTTATTAGACAGATGAAGTGAAAAGAACATATATTGTTTGTATTCTAAAACATGGATGCTTTCCACATTCTCAAAGGGAAACTGAACTGTCTGTACCTGCCATTGAAATTGAGTTTAGATTCTATCCTCACATGAGAAGTGTGATGACTTTCATGTCGTTTAAAAACGTTCACAACTGACCCACAAACATCACATGATTTCAGGACTTCAAGTTTGTACTCATCAGTTTAGCCACCAATGAAGGCACCCACTATTTGCCATGGTTGATTGAGAAGGCATCAACAGGTGAAGTTGAAAAGGTCATGTTCAACTTTAACTTTCTGAAAGATGCAGCACTGTTGCTAAAGACGAGTCATAGGAAGTCAAAGAGCACGAGTGGGGTACAGCGACAGTCAGTTTGAAGAGGTTGGGATGGACCCTCAGGCCACTCTTCAGTGCGAAGTAAACTGTATGTTATGCGTAAACAAACTGGGGAGCGTTTCACAACATAAAAAGAAAAAAGAAAAAGAAAAAGAAAAGAAAAACGCCAGCAATACTACAAAAAAATTTAAAATGACGGTGTATCATACACATACAGTTTAGATCTTTCTGCGCATCTGGCCTGGAAAGATTTTAAAGAGCCGAATTTGTTATTTAACAAGATATACTAATCATTGTTTACCCTGTTATACTAAGAAATTCTCCAAATGCTGAACCGATTCCAGTAGGCTTCGCACTCAGGAATACACTAAATGAAACGCGCCGACATGTAAGGAGAATGTCAATAAGCTTAGCCAACCTGCTGCCATGACAATGGTGAGGTATGGCAATTACACTGGTCACATCGCTCCTTATTTAAACTCAATCTCTAGTCATGATCACGAATTTGCTAGCAGTTGAGTGGAGACCTGTAAATCGATATTTTGACAAACATCTACGACATTATTCACGAAGTTGATTCTAGCTCTTACCGATAAGGATCGATGTAAAGGACGTGATGATCAGCCAACGCTTGACCAATGCAGATATGTTGGTTACACTACCTGCGTGTGCGTTGGAAGTAAGGTTTGAAGGTAGACCTCGCTAAAGGAAAATTGACACAAAGAGTGCCTGAATGTACCATATATGCACAGACAGTTGGAGCACATTTGCGAGGAAGCGAAGAAGCAAGTTCCGTAACGACCATGTGTCCGAAGCAAATACAACGCACGTATTTCTAATCACTCTGCCACTCAAGGACAAACATGTTTTTCAAAAGAGCCATCATTTTCCTTTTCGTGTGCATAATTCAGAGTAAACTAAATGACACTAGCTTTCTGTTAATATAGAAGAAAATTTCGTGCGGTGTAAGGGTTTAATTGGGATCAAGGTTCAACAGTAGGAGCAGTGAGCACAGAAAGTCTTGGATATTTGGACTTCAGGATTGACACAAGCCAATGACGTGACAACGTTAACGTCGAGAGTCCACCTGCCACTTCACGTTCTTATTCCTTCACCCATCTGAAAACTAAACCACAATTGACTGCTTCCACAACCACATACGATCCAGGTGCAACAAATTAGTAAGCATCACAAAGACAATTACAAGGTAAATCTTCTGCCGAAACAGTTTCACAGCAGTTCACACACTAAAAGGGAAGTTATGGCCTAACCACTCTTTTCAGTGGCAGAATTATCAAGTTCCCTCGTTCTAGGAAGTTGGCACTCATAGGGCCAACTTGCTTGCAACTGGAGCACAGTTCAATTATGCAATTAAGGAACGCAACCGCTAAACGTATCAAAGATCGCGAGAGCTAACAAGGTGTTATTTAGGGGACGAATCTAAATCCAAAAAGTTCCAGTCCACGGCTACACCTACGACAATGCCCAAACTATGTGAGAGCAGCGCCTCGTAGCGAAAGTTCTAATGCTCCATGCAATACTTGTCTTCTGGTACTGCCTCCACACAAAAGATACAGTTAGCCACACCCTCGGGTCAGATCTACTAGAATGTGTTTATCGGGTCACTTCCTTTTGACATCTCTCAGATGTCGGAGCAGGTGGCAATAGAATTGTAGGAAGGTGTTGAATGGGACAGTCAGCATGCAAGCAGTTGAGCCAAAATCAGAACTGGTAGCATGTAACAAGGGGCAAATGGATCGTCGTCTACAATCTAGAGACTGGGTCTATAGTTTTTGTTCTGTTTGGGTTCCATCTGACAACAACCTGATGTTCTCACGACGCCAGTAAAAGTCGTTGTAATCACACTGCCGCTCCAGTGCGCTCAAGCACATTGCTGCAAGCTTGGAACCTCCGAACGTTCGAGGATTGAGCGACACAAATGAAATGGTGCAATTCCACTTCTAGTTTTTAGTAGATGTCCAATGTTGGCGTCTGTAGAAGGGGCTAGTCGTGACCTTAGTATAATTCACTTCCAATTATCGTTTTCTTCGATAGAATTTCAGCATCGGCTGGGTCGCCAGCGATGTGCTTAATAATTGATGATCCACTCAGAGAACTGTTGATATTCATTGATGTCTAATTGACATCTCCATAGTCTAACATGTAAATTTTTTTTATTCATCACAGTGGATCACTGCGTAACGAGGCGATATATCAGAATTTCTCTAAGCCACTCAGGCAGAACGTTTGATACCCCACTATACACATCACACGGCGAGTAAATGTGCCCAGGCACTTCAGCTTGCAAGTATTACGAGGCATTATTCACCCAGGACAACCTCGGAGATCCAAAGTAGGATTCAGAAAGAACGCAGCATGTTTGTACATCATGGAGATCAGTCCAAGTGTTGGAAAAATGTTGGTCTCATCATTATCCAAGTCACAGAATTATACACGTCAGTGCCAGATTGGGCAGCCCCGAACAATATCTGATGCTGTCCATTTCACAGGATGAGAGAAAAAAAGTGACATCAGGCTGTCGACCCACATACACCCCTTCCCTTCCCCTTCACGTTACGATAGAAAGGAGACCTTTCAACAGAAGTCTGATTTGAATTGAGAACCGTCAGAGGCCGGCACTGAATAGGTGTACAAACTATCGCAGAAACAGATCTCGAGTCAAATCCTAATTCGCCAGTCTCAAAAACAAAACAAGAGAGCTAGCGGAGGGCTGCAGACAAAGACAAATATTTAATACACACAACATTTCGAAAGGTAGAAGTAACGCAATTAGGCGAGGCACAAGATTGAAGGAGACGATTTGAGATACTCTGCAAGATGCACACAGCGGTGAAATTTATATGCTGAAGCTAGGTGGTTGATTTGTGATCTAAACCTCTGGATCTAGGGTTACAAGATCTAACGGTGGGGATAGGACCTCTCCCATGTCCACTACCGGGCAAATCGCCACTGCGCCGGCCCCTTTTTCCGGCTGTGTGGTGTTTAGGGTTATGAGATAGCAGTGAAGGATAATAGGGACATGAGCACAAGAGCAAGCAGAGTAACTGAGATGTGTAGGAAGAATGAGTGAGTGTCCCCTACTGCTTAACCCATGTTTGTCATGCACCAAGGTATGATCTTAAAATTTGTAAACTATAAAGATATTGGTTGTATTGCAATATCCCCAAACTTTTCTATTGGAGAAATTAAATGCTGATTGTTGTACTGTAAAATTGTTCACTTTTGGATTAGACATGACTTCTTCATATGCTACTTATATGTAAATGCATGTATGTAGATTCAAGTTATATGAAAAAAAACCATACCCATGAGTACACATGCATATATGTTGTTCTTAGTTTGATAATTTATGTTTTAAGTAGAGTTAATATCTTTATTACTGTTTTAATTATTAGATCCGTTAATGTGTGTAAATTTAAGGTAGCTGAACCTTGAATGATGCTTTGACAAGTTTTTTAATGGAACTTTGAAAAAGACAAAAGTCAGGTTAATTTCTAAACGTTTAAAATTTTAATGCTTTATTCCATCACTGAAAGGGAATATTCATATTATCAATCTAATTAAGGATTTAGTTACTTTTTTTAAAAAACCTAGTTATTTTTATTTTCATATTCTATTTCATTTGAAAATAATAATAAGATATTCGAATGTATATATATATATATATATATATATATATATATATATTTGATTTTTATCGACACAAATAAAATAAAACAATTTGTCTTGGCACGAAAGGAATTACACAATTCAAATACAATCTATACACTTTGTGACATTTATGTATTGCACAACAATTACCTAATGTAAGAATAAAAATAAAAAATAATATTTTAAAATGTTAACAAGAATCTATACATTACTTAGTAAACAATCAACAATTTCTTTAAAGTTTCAATATTCACACTCAGTGATCCTATATTCAACTTAAGTATGATGAAATAGGATATCTCTGTTAACATCTTTGAATTAGATGACTCTCTCCATCAAAAGATCATCAATAGCCTCAGGAAAAGGTTACGAAGATCCTCACCCAACAAACTGAAAAGAACTTCGCATCTACACCCATTGAATACTATTGTTGCAACATGGCTTACTGTTTTCTACATGTATTGCTCAAGTCAAACACACACAGTGCAAAAGAATTTTTAAGAGAAAATGTACCCAGTTTGTCACAGTATTTTACATTTACAGAAAGCTGTTTGACTGTAGCAATGTGTAGCTTGTGAACCTCAGCAAGAGTTGCCTGTCCTAACATATTGCGAAAAACTTAAAATCGACGTGTTTTTCTACTCAGCGAAAGTTCTACGAAGAAGCAACATGGCATGTTCTTGTCAATCACCTGCAATTCGTAACAGAACAATCAGAAGTTGGAGAAAGGGAGCAGCTACCTTCCAAGAGAAAATGATCATAAGCTTTTCTCACATGATTGTGAGGGCACACTCCCAGTGGTTGAAAGGATCACAGAGTAAATGATTGAATCTGTTACAATGACTAGCAGATTTGCAAAGTGAATTCAAAAGCATGGACCCACAAAATCAATCATAACCACTCATCTGCAAGCTAGCATGAGTAGTCGTAAAACTCCACATGACCTAAGATATTGACAATTCATCGGATGCACTATTTGTCGGCAGCAAGCTCATAACACTACGAGGGTTTGCATGTCCCAATCGCCAGAAACATGTAACCTCATGTGCACATTTTCTGCATGAATCACAATTAAATCACTCACTGCAAAGAACCTGTGTATCACTGAATTCGAGTAAACTTGGCGAACAGCAACTCTCTAACCAGAAAAATGTGGGAATCTAAAATGTGGGCCAATAAAACCAGCATTGTGCCTAAGCAGGCTCTCTCCTCAATTAAGAAAGAGGACACTCGTAGGCCGATCAGTGTAGGATTTGAATTTAACGAGTATTCCAAGACAATCTTTCACTGTAAACTCAAATTGGCCAAGGATCCCAGTGAATTAGTTATATCTAGAACCAGCAACCCCCTACTGTCCACTAACTCTCCAATCTCCTCTTACATGTTCAGGAATACCTCCCTTATTTACCAACGATGGCGAGGCAACTGTGCGAGGGATTATTAACGATTAAATTCCAGAAACCTTATCAGCGTTCATCGTGCCGATGAGAAGAACAAGGTGAGCGATGCAACAATACGTACAAAGATCTGTACACCACACCATTTCTCAAGCCCGTTAGAATGAGTCTTTAATCGCTGTGACTCTTATGCGTCAACCGAATCCAGAAACTCCACTCATTTCTTTCGTTGGACCTTCTCCTTGATCCAACGGAGGCTGGTGGAGGTGCCCAACTTCACTTTTTGTGCACTCACGGAAGCTGCACTCCTTGTCCTTTCCACACTATTGGTCGCTGCGGCCTTCACCTTGGCCATCCTACTATTTTTCCGTCTCCCCTGACTGCCATTGGCATCTTCATCGAAGTTTTTGTCCCATTGATCTGCCCAGCCGTTCGAATCCTGCCTTTCGTAAGATGTCATCCTCGCTAAAGGTGTAGCCAACAATGAACCTGAACAGGAAATAATTTCCGCAGAAATCAACAGCTACTCAAATTTGCAGATCGAGCAGACAGATTGATGAACCTGCCAAACACCACTGCACGCAAAAGCTTCTTATCAAACGAAGCAATTATTGAATTTTTGAATTAGGAAAGTTTCAAAGAAGCACTTATTTAAATGCTCTTTCTTTCTCACAAACTCACAGATCAGCTTACAACCAACAAATACATTCATATTATCACAGAGAATGCCAGAGCAAAGTGCCAGCAACACGGGAAGCCTCTCAGGCTCTATCACTTTAACATCGATCTACACCAGCATAGAGAAACAGCCCTCCTAAACAAAACGGCAATGGTAGATCGACTCCACATCTATACAAAAAGGACAGAAGGAAGATTCTGCGCCGTGCGACTGCAGCAAAGAAAAGAAAAGAAAAAAGCTACCAAAAAATACAAAAAACCATCTCACTACGAGCGACAATCTAAAAGAGTGATTCAAATGACCTTTCAAAGCGCCAATCCTCGATTGCTCAAAGAAGGTAACACCTAACTACAGATTTGCCGTCAACTACTGCCTCCACAAGGGGCCAAATCCTGAACACACCACGTTATTCCTAATCCAGCATTCCGTTACTCGGATCACGGGGGAGAGAAGCAACATTCACGTACCTGATTGCTTGCAGGTCGAAGCAAAGCAGGGCAGGTGAAGAACGGGAGAATAGTTCTTCTAGACGAGCGAAGAGAAGCTTATACCATTCCAAGTGAAGCTCCTTGCCACAACAAGCGAGAGAGAGACGACTCATCATTTGTGCTACCCTTACAACATCCGAGCTGGCTGCCACGTCGGATTAGCGGACGCTATTTTGTAGTAAAAAAAACTGCCCCAGTGTCCCAGCCTCAAACACCTTTCTTAGATCAGGCACGACCAACGATTTAATGTACATCATTCATCCATGTAGAACAACTTCATCCGTCTTGTTTTTGAAGATGCCCACCTGAAAGAGGTGATTAATACATGTATGAGAGAGGCACAATATGGTGGAGTTTCTAAGGTTTTTAAGGAAGAAAGGAATGTTGTCCTAGAAGCAAAGTGTGGGGGTGGCATGGTATGGGCCTGCCTAACACTCACACACCATGCAGGCTAAGGCATGAGCACCTCTCCCTTTTGTTTGTATAGGAGAGGTGCTCATGCCTTCATAATTCTATACCAGCTAGGTCTGTAACTCTAAGCCAAGCCAAGCAAATCAAAGCAAAGACATCTCCCCTGCCCCCTCTGAGCTCCAACTATTCAAGCCTGCAAGCCCTGCTCATGTGCACCCCTCTGTGTGGCCATGTGGTGCTCCATTTGCTGCATTAAAGAGTATTTGTTTGCCTGTCTCCACTGCCCCCCAAAACATAATTTAACTTAGAAAGGAAGGAGGAAGAAAAGCAAGTAAAGGAAAAGAAAAAGACCAAGAAAGAAAAAGAAAAAGACCAAGAAAGAAAAAGAGAAGATAACAACAAGAAGGAAAAAAAGAAAAAGGATGGAAAAGGTGAAAGAATTGTTGAGAATGTTTAGAAAGACACAAGAGTAGTAGCAAGTAATATACACACACAAGAGTAGTAAGTAATACACACATACACAAGAGAGTTTCTAAGGAGAGAGAGCTTCACACCAAAGTCTATTGATCTCGTTGTGTCTCGTATACAAGAGGAGAAGGGGAGAGGATAAATAGTTCCTCTCTACTACATTCCAAATACTATACCTATAGTATTTACTGTAGACTATAGTAAATATTGTAGAGAGAGCCAACTACATTTAATGCTCTCAACATTCTTCCTTGCTCATCATAATATTTACATAATATAAAATTTGTATAGAATTATGATTTATACTTTTTTGTAATCTTGTAAGATCAACAATTGTTGCCTCATTAAAACCTTATTTAAGAATACCTTATTGTATTTAAGGGTAAAACCATAGATGAAAGAAAAAGAGAGTTATATCATTTACTTTAATTATTTAAAGAATTCATTAACTTTCTTATTTAAGAAAAGTAAGTTGCCGCATTCCAATACCATAAGTAAGTTGATAATGGTTGCACAATGAGAGAGCTTTGGTGAAGAGATCAATAAAGTTATTTGCAGATTCAATTTTCTTAATTATAAGTGCTTGATTAGTAATCAAGTCATGGATATAACTAAAATACTTTGGATCAATATGCTTAGTCGTATTGCCTTTAATGAAACCAACTTGTATCTATGTAATACAAGTACTATTGTCTTCATGCAAGATAATTAGAAAATCATGATATGAAAA